AGCAGGCACTCGTCCAAGGGCTGCTGATGACTTAATCAAGCCATAACATCAGCAAGCAAGGGAAGAAGGCTTTAAGTCCATTGCAGTTTTAGATTGTGTTGATCGGAAGGGCTAAAACTAATTTCAGTTTCAGCATGACTCCATCCTGTTGGCACTCAGGGGAATGAAGCTATGCAGGCAAAGTGATTTCAGCTATGCACTATCAGCCAAAGTGATGTGAATGTTTTTAGGCAAGCACAGAAAGATTACCTCTTGGTGTCACTGGTCATGCCCTGAAATAACTTTTAAGAAATGTTCACACTGTGAATAATAAAGGCCTTTCACCCAGAAAAATTCTGCACAGGTACATGCACACATATTTCGTAGTTGCAATAAAGAAGATTCAGGACAGATCTGGGGAGCCTGGAGTTATGTTCCCTTCTCAACACTTGTTCTTATTTGGTGGTGGATCTGCTGGTGTATATTCTCATGCATGGCACACGCTTGTGCTATTGCCTCTTTGTGATCTAATGGAATGATGAAACAGCGGTGTATGGAAAACTCTTCAGATTAATCCTTCACTCAGTAATTTTGTGGTTTGATTTGCAGCAGAGAGGCTGCTTTTTGTTCTGTGCTAGCTGCAGAGATGCTGCTGTTGCAAGCAGTGCTAAACTGGAGGAGGTTACTGGGGAGAAACTGTCATATTTGGAGTACCCTGAGGTAATGGTTGTGGCAAAAACAGAAGTGCCATAATAGGTGCAGTTCAATGTCCTTGTCCTTCTCCTTCCTTCTGGTCCTTTCAGGTTCAGAAACTATGTAAAGGTCGAGATCTCAGTTCAAGCAAGTTTTTCTTATAAGCAGGTCTCCTTCTGGTTTACTTTGAGTGTTAACATTTTTACCTGACCAGAGTAGATGCAAACAACTCAGTGTGCTGTGACTAAACTGTTTCTTTTCTCAGGGAGCTTCTTAGCCCAGTTTCGCCTGTTTATGCTGACTCTGTTCACGTCCCACTGGAGAGATGTTGTGTTTAAATTCACTTGTGATTGACCTTACTCCAACATTGCTATAGAAAAGGGCCAAGATATTTTTTTTATCCTTTTTATAACTCCTGGCTCTCTTTCTATACTGAAGTAATTAGCCTGAGCTGACCTCTAGCCAAATGTTTCTGTGGTCAAGTTTCAGCTGGCTTGAGGACAGTCAGCTGCTGTAATTTTTTTTTTTCTGATTTTAACTCTGTTCATTCTTGCAGGCTGCTGGAGTTGGGTAAGACTTAGAATATAATTCTTTAGAATAATATGTTTAAGAAACTTTAAGGTTTGGGGTTTTTTCTGTTGAATAAGAGGCACGTTATTAGTGCCATTTGTCTTTCATAGGCACATAAGGGTAGGTGTTGGGAGGTAAATACTACTGGATTGTAAAAGGTCAGGTTTTGTCCTAATGCCTGCAGAGAAGCTGTCTCTTGCTTGGTTAGCAGAGAAGCCTCTGGACAATACTGCTCCTATTGACAGCAAGCTCTCAAGAATGTCTTAGAGGAAGGGCAGTGGGTCATTATGGAACAGATCTTCAAGAACTTTCTGCAAGGCAGTAGTTGTCTGATGGTGATGCAGGTGGCACCTCAGAGGACCCTTCTCTCAGAATTTTTATTCTGTACCACCAAAAGTGGTATTGTGATGGGGCAGCTCCTGCTTTCCCCCAGATTTTCTCCCATGAGCCTGGAGCCATGGCAGTGTAGCTCTCACTTCATCTCAAATCCTGCTAGAAGTGGCTGTCATAACTGCAGCCCAGGCAAGCTTATGGTGTTTGTGCTGAATGCAGAGGTCACGTCCCTGCTGCTTCACGCCCCATGCAGAGCTCCATTTGCCTGGGTGAGGCCTTGAGTACAAGCCCTATCCCAAGGGCTCTGGGTTGCAGCTCCAAGGAGATAGAACAACTTGGCCTTTTACAAAGGCTCTTGCACAAAGGGTGGAGCATTATGCATCCATATTTTCAGAGCAGTTACTGTTTTTGAGCTCAGTCCTGTCCATATTGGGTATGTTCAGAGTATACCAGTTGGGTATTTTTCACAGAAACTACTTGTCTGAATGGATAACTCAGTGGGATATCCCATGTGGTTTTAGGCAAAGCCAAGACAGTGTTTTGTCTTGCTGAGATTCTGGAATTTGTGAGAGTCCACTGAAGAAACATAGTTTGTTTCTATACTGCGTTTTACTAACAAAAGGGCAAGGGATGAAGCAGCAATTTTATTCATTTCTGATGTTTAGGAACACAAATTAATCCTGTGCCCTGTTCCAGAGAGATGGTTGTTTTTGTCAAGGTCTGTGGCTGAGCAGGGAATTTCCCAATAATTGTAGAATTGCTCTTAAACAAGTAATAGCTGCTGCTGGAGGGTGGCTGTGCCCTCCCCTCCACCCTGACTGCTCATTCCCATGCCTGTGCTGCCCCAGCTCTGCTCCTGGGCTGTGTCTTTGGGGACTCCTGATAAAACCTGTCTGCAAACAGGTTCATTAAAATAAATGTTTATGGATTCATTTGAACTGGAACAATCTCCTGATGGAGTTCACTGTGTTGCAGGTATGTAAACAAGTCTACTACTGCAGGAGGGAACAGCAGTACTGGAAGAGGATTGTTTTCCTCTGCAATAACAAGACCTTACTGAAGTGCAGTGTGTTTGTTGACATCTGTGATGTGTTTCCAGGCTCCTGGGTTAGTGCTTCAGCTGTCAAACCTTCCAAACTCTTCTTGGAAGGAGGCTGAGATGCTACCAGTCAGGTGTCCAGGGATGGAGGGGATAGTCGTGCTGTGACAGCTGCACGTGGGGACCAGCCCTGGTCCTGCCAGAGTTGTTTGGTGTGGTTATGAAACGTGAAACAGTGTTGAAAAGTGAATGATGGATTCTGATCACGTTTGTTCTCACAGGAGGACTCTTGTGAGGATTGGGCCTTCTCTTGTGGCTGTTACTAGGTAGGAAGAAGTAGAAAGACTTGGAAAAAAAGTAGTTGGAAGATTAGGAGAGGCTGATGGATGTGGGAGAACAGGAAAGTGGGAATAGGAAGGCAGCATGGCATGCCTGGGTACTGGGAAAGTAGAGTTGTAAATAAAGTGACATTGTTCTCAGGCCTGTGAAACAGGAAATAAAACTTTAGGGAGAAAGCAGAAGAGCTGAGTGAGAGAAGAGACTGATGGGGTAGACATTGTGTAACAGGAGAAGAATTGACAAACACAGAAGCACATTTTTGTAGTAGATTTATTAATAACAGATAATAAGAATCCTGTAAACAAGAGTACAGATGAAGCAGGAGGACCAATTGAGCTACCTGAAAATTGAGCTGATCTTGGATGAACCTTGTACAGTGGCAGTGTAGCTCCTCTGCTGAGACTTAGGAGGACTGTTGGCCTATGGTTTGCTTTATTAGCTTTGTCCCAGGTCAGCTGCAGTTGTCACTTCTCCTTGTCCTGCTCCCCAAGTTGTCTCACTCCCACACTGCCCCAAATCCTCACTAAAGTTCTTCTCTTTCTTCCTTTCTTCCTCTCTTCTTTTCCTCTTTTCCTCCTTTCTTCCCCCCTCCTCCATCCCTCACTCCGTGGAGTGACCCATGTCTGCCTGGCCAGAAAAAAGTCCTGCAGGTGCTTGGGCAGTCTAAAGAGCTCCTATAGCTCTTCCTTTGGTGTAGCAGTCCCATGCCCACTCTGGCTGGCCCAAGCTTGTCTGGGTGGGGCTGCTGGGCATCCTTGTCCTGATGTGTGTGAGGTGGGGAGCATTTCCTTTGCAGGTCTGGCTTAGGTTCTGCTGGTCTAGAGCAGTTTGAGTAAATGCCAACTTATGGAGTTGGTAATAGTTCTGGGTTTTTTTTCTGTACTGTGATTCCTTCTGCTCTCTTAGTGTAAGAAAATTGAGGGAATTACCTTTTAAATTCAGCATTACTATAGTTTTACATACTCAACATTCTTGTGTTTTATCATCTTTAACCTAATTCAAACTTTGATAACTGTACTAAGCAACTGACTAGTTTTTGACACCCAGATTTGGTAGCATTGTTACTTGATAACTAACACCTACTTAGAGATTGTTACTTGTTAGTTGGCTTTGGACGCTTGTGGTTTAATCTCCTGTTAGAAAGGAGATTAGAAAGAAATAAATAAAGAAGAAAGAAATAAAATCTCTAAATGAAAACAGTCCAGTATAGAATCAGAGTATGTCATACCAATTTACAGTCAGATGTGGGAGTGGAGCTATTCTCTCTGTGCTGCCTCTCTGAGAGAGGTGTTAGTGTATGGTGCTGGTTTGATGCCACAGAACAAAAATTGCTGCCTGACTTGTTTAAACATCCATGCTCATTTTAGCATGTGTGTTGTAGCTTTAGTTTTGAAAGTCTCTGGTAATCTTCATGGCTATAAATGGTCAGGTTATAATCCATGGTATGGATGTTTTCCCCATACTTCCTATGGACACTTCAGGAGGTTTTTGAGAGCAAGGTACCATCTTGTGCAGGTGTCTGCACAATCTGCAAGTCATAGAGCAGCTGCTGCTCTTCACCATTGTTACCAGATGCTGGTGATAATGGCAAGAGCAAAGTAGAGCCTCAAAACAGGATTGTGTGATGGGGTTGTACGATGTGTGTGCATGTGTGGCACAAGCGAATCAAGGAAAACAAGGAGTGTGCTTTTTTGGGGGAAGTTGTAAAGTCTTGCTGGTTTATGCTGGGATTGTAAGTGTTTGCATTCTTGGAGGTTTTAAAGTCATTTGCAGATGTAGTCTATCAATTGACAATACTTCTTTTTTCCTCCCTCTGTATTTAATGGACTAGAGATGCATAAGCTACTTCTCTTGTAAATACAGTATTTACTATCTGTTCCAGACTGCAAGATGATGTATTGTTTTATGAGGCAATGAACAATAAACTAAATGTACTTCTGGTTTAAATCCAGTCAAAAAGTCAATAAAACTAGATAATAGCTTAAATGTCGTATCATATTAGTAATTGCTTGTAAAGAAACTCTCTTATTGTCTTTTCTTATTACAGAGTTAGGAGTATGGATCTTTGGCATCTGCTGTTTACTTTGGCACTGATCTGTGCAAATGACTCACTTTCTGCAGGTGATGGTAAGTTTTATGATGCCTCTCCGTGACTTTATGTGTGTAGATGTATAAATATGTAGCTTTATTTAAACTGTATTTTTATATTGAATTTTTAATGACTGTGCAACTTTCTTGATTGCAGTAACCCAGGTACCTAATGTGACAAACGCATCAGTTAATCTTTTTGTAAACATAGTGGGTAAGGTTGGGACACGTTGCTAAATGAAGGTGAATTTCAAAGACAGTTTTTGATGTGTAAGCAAGATGAAATTGAAAGAATGAAAGAATTGTATGGGATTAGTTTGTTTTTTTTCCTAAACAAGTCTTCTAGTATATTCATATTTTAAGTTTAGTATATTAATATATTAAGCGTAGGACTTAGTATAAGTACAGGACTAAGTATTTTGACATACAGGATAAGCATTTGAAGACTGTATGCTTTGAATCTCAGGCCAGTAAGAACAAGTTTCATAAGAAATAAACTTAGTTATTCTTGGGTAGAGATTATGGGATTTCAAAAGAATGTGTACCCTTAACCAGCCAGCTGGGACTGGTGTTTAACTCATTTAACAGAACACACGTACTTCAGTGGGACTTGCATGTTGTGTCAGATTGATCTGCTTATGCAGATGATCTATGATCATCTATGATCTAATTAACTATGATCTAATTAACTAAAGAAGTGCAGCTCAACCTGATCAGCTCTGTACTGTTCTGGTTTTCAGAACAGACAGCGGTAACAGTTTTTGATAATAATTAATTTTATGCAGACATGTCACTGCTTCTCCCAAAGCTACAGAGCAGCTGCAGCTCTGTAAACAGGTGCCCCTCCTGACTTCTTAGCAGAGCAAGTCAGAAAGGGCAGTTTGTCAGGAAATTTTATTAAAGTGGGATGAAAACAGCTTCCACAGCTAACTCTAAATAAAGTGATATAATTTTCAATGAAATTTTCTGATGTCTCATTTTTTTTTTCTTTAGGTCCATACTTTAGTTTTACTGAGTGCAAATTAAACATCTATAGACTTGCAAGCTATGTTTCATCAGCCTTTCTAGTGCTAGTTTTAAAGTATGGTAGTAAGCCAAAAGGCAATGACATAGTTGCCCTCTAGTCATAACTGGCTCACATTTTAAAGGTATAACCATAGCTCTTTGTCTTGATACAGTTCTGTATTTTCTTGGAGTTGCATACTTTGAATTTCTAGGTATCTTGTATATATGGAAGCACTGGAGAGGCTATGAAGTGTTACTTGAATGTTAATGGAGACATTAGGCTAAAATAGGAAATAATTAAAACTCAGGTGATCAGTTCTCAGACAATTCTTCTATAAAGTTCATTCTGTTTATTAATAAACAGGTTTGGATACAGAAAACACAAATGTCTGTTTATTTACTTCTATGCGTGTGGCTCAAATGATTGTCCTCTGTGCTGAAAAAAATCTATAAGGCTGCTAGTTAAGACTTTTTCTTTAACATTTACCAGACATATACACATGCACCAGCTCCTATTCATTGCCACCACAGAAAGGTCAGTAGAACAAAAATTAATGTGTCCTGACTTCATCCTTTCTCCCGCCATGTCTGCATTTTACAGTAGACTCATTCAACAGTCAAAAATAATCCCCAGGGCAGTCTACTGAACCAACTGATTTCTCTCTTGAGTTTTAAGAGCACATGAGGGTTATATGATCCTTGGCAGATGAGCTGTGGTCCAGATGTCCTAACTGCAGTAAAAATCTGTGTTATAAATAAAACTTGACCACAGCATCGTCTTTGTGTGACTTTGTCTATGCTGATGAAATAGTAATTTCCATGAGATTACCTTCAGAACCAAAAAATTAAGAATATTTTGGTTGTTTCTGTGCTTAAATACAAGACATAGTACTAAATATTTATGTCCTGATTTGTTGTGCTATTAAAGATTGTGTGTGTGAAGGGAATTGCTTTTTTTAGTGATTGTTATTAAATTGCTTCTAATTCTTTGGGCACATGCTCAGTGAGAATGTCAGAGAAGGAAGTATAAATTGAACAGCAGTATTTGAGATAACAGTATGAAAGAACATCTATTTGCTGTTCTTTTGTGATTTAGAACAGAGTATTAGACAAGATCTGTTTATTATATGAGTTTTTTTTCTCCCATGTATTCACATGGGAGAAAAAATGCTCATATCTACCAAAGTTCTCATGAGGATCCAGCCCCACTCAGGTCGTGAATCCTGACAATCTTACAGTGCTCTGCCCAGCACAGTCTTGCTGAGACCTTTGTATAAACCTCATTAAATGTGCTCTATACGTGTACCATATCTGATATGTTGCCTGGTGACTGGATCTATGGTGTCATGGTTCCCTAAAAAATTCACTTCAGTAGTTCTATTTCTTCTGGCAGCAGAAGAGATAAAAATTACATATGTTTTGTGGTCTTGTACCAAAGCCCAGTACTGAACCAGTGTAATATAGACTTGTACATGGGATGCTTTCGTGTCTTGAAAATAAACAAAGTGCAAGTTCAGCTTTACAAGAGTGCTTGGAGCTGGCTTTGTCCCCTGGGGTCAGATCCACCCAAGATAGAGTGAATTCCCATACAAGTTTCCTTCTGGCAGGATCAAGGATGTGAGGCCAGCAGTTGGCCAGGCAACTGCACAGCATTTGAGACCAGATATTGGACATTTAACCACCTATTTGCTGTCTCCAGGCTGGTATCCACTTCTGCTGGAGGCTTTCTATTGATTTAGCTTGTTTTTCATACTCTCCTCTTGAAGAAGCTGGCTTCCAGCTCCCTAAACTGGGACTGCAGCCAGCATGAAGTGAGAGGGGTGCCTGCTGTCTCTGAGAGGGTGATGCTCGAAGTGACCAGGTGTGTCCACTGCTCCAGGTCTTTGACTGTAATTCAGGGCTGAGCAGGTCTGGGACTTTCAGCCTTTCACCAGGGTTGCTGACCCTCGTGCTGTCCCTGCCCCTGAGCTGCCTGATGTACAGTGACAAGGGCAGAACAGAGGCAGTGGTAGAAAGAAAGTAAAGGCTGCAATAACAGGAAGGTAATTTCTAATAGGTGCATAATTACCGTAGGTAAATGGGTTTTGTGCCTTCAGGATTGGAAAGCACAAGGGCCCTTTTCACAGCTGATTAAGACATTTTTTTCAGCAGAATTAGGCTTCTAGGTTGCTTTGAAGATGGATAATTGTGTGATTTTGACATTTTAGTTTAATTTAGTTAATTAGATCCATAAACAAGAAAGAGTACTGCCTCATAAGCAGATGTATATCTGTGCAGTATTAATTGTAGTTCAGAAAAAAAATATAAAAACTTATATTTGCATACAAATACACAGTTTGTATTTGAGATTTTACATTAATATAACTGCAGTGTTTCAAAACCATATCCAGAATTCACCAAGGTACTTTGGTTTACTGTACCTGCTGACATCAGAAGCAGTTGAGGGGAATTGCTCCAGACACAGACTGAAATATGTTTAGGAAGCACAGTGAAAGTTGTGATATGGTTTGCTTGTTCCTTCTCTACGTCTGATGAGTGTAAGTCAAATAAGGACATAGAGAAATAAACTGGGAACGAGTCCCAGTTAATAAAACAATACATAAGCTCAAGCAACTCCAAAATGAATTTCTTCCCAGTGAAAAAAGTGAGAAATGTCTTTTACCGTATTTTTATGCTAGATCGAAGTTAATTCCAGACTATTACAGTTATGTTAATTTATCCTCTGAAACAGCTTTAGAAAGGCATTAATATTTTATTATAGTACAAGAAAAATAATTTTGAGTGTACTGATTTTGTACAATGACAATTTTAAGAGCAACAACCCTTGTATTATTGTTAATTTTATCTCATTGGATTTAAAAAAAATTATTTATCTTTTTCCATCACAACTTTTAAAATTATTTTACGAATCTGCTGTGCTCAAATAGTCTATTTTCACAACTTTTATTTAAGAAATAGACTTAGTTATTTTCCTTTCTGAAACAAATACAGTCCAATTTTTATTTCCATCAGGATGTCCTTTTGTTTTACTGGTGTCCGTTGTTATACTTTGATGCTTTGTGTGCATTACACATTGATGATAAACCACCTAACTGTATGTGTGCATTGGGTATCAGTGCTCCAGTTGCAGAACTGGAGATTGAATCCATAACCCATGCATAGGACTTCAGTGTCATTAAAGATATGCCTGAGCAGCCAAGACTTCTGTGCAGGGCTCCCAGTGATACCAGTGGACCTCCAGGACATCTGCATCTTCCTGGGATGGTGAGAAGCTTACAGAGGTTTCTTAAAAACCTCATGCCCAGGTATCTGATACATAATTAACATGTATTTTCAGGTAATTAAATCAACTCTCTCAGCTACTCTATGTTCCAGGGCCTGTTTTGACTAACTCTCTATTAACTATTGGGAGCTTGGACACCTAAGGCTAAGATTCATCACAGGGATATCCTCTAGGTACTCAAAAAGTCTGCATAAAACTTGTAGATAGCACACCTGTGCCTTTTAAGCTGAAGCTGGAAGGCAAGCAGAGTATCCTAGGCAGTCTGAGATAGCTACAGATGTTTAGGCAACTATATTTTGCCCTATGGGGCATAAAGGGAGCTAACTTTAGGTGTTCTTATTTTGAACTGAGCCTCATCTTTGCAGCTGACACATTTCAAAGTGCACAATTCCGCTTGCTTTCTTCTGGGTAGTGTCATAGCTACTCAGCCAGACACTGTAGGTTTTCTGCTACTGCCAAAGTGAGGGGTCTTCTCAGTGCACTGATGGGAAAGCACATGGGGTCTTGCTGGCACCATGAAGTTTAGTAGCAGAAACATGTCTGGAGGTGAAGAAATGTGACATGTGAAGAAATTATTAGAATTAAATTAAGCAGAAAGGTGACTTTGAATGGCAGCATATTCTCTTCTAGGACAGGGAAATTTGTCCATCAGTTCATGGAGTCAGGAGGTACCTGGCCTAAACCATTCAGAAAAATGGTCTTGTCTGTAAACATATTTTGCGATTTAGATGAACTCAAATTTTATAGATGC